TTTTAAAATTTTTTATTTGATCAGAGTAAGACAGAGAGAAAGTGAGAAAGCAAGCCACCAGGTCTGGGATTCAAACCATGGTTGGCCATGTGGGAGTGTCCAACGCCTTAACCACCACGCCACCTGCTGGTCCCTAAAAATAATTTCTGGGTTTGTTAAAATTTCCAACTGTGATTGTTTGTCTGCTACACATTTTTGGTTTTGTTACTTTTTGCTTCATGTATTTTATTTCTAGTTATATAATACAAAAGTCTTATTTCCAGTTAGACTGACACTTTTATCAGTGTGAAATACCTTTCTTTTCCCTAGAAATATTTATTATCTGAAGTCTACTTTGATATTAATTTAGCCGTCCCGGCTTTCTTCTGTTCATAGCTGCGTGATGTGTAAATTGTCCTCCTTTCTTTCTGTGTTCTTTTACCTCCATAAGCTTATATTTAAAACCTGTCTCTTGTAAATAGCATGTAGTTAGGTTTTTAAAATCCACTCTGGTGATCTCTTTCTTTTATTCCGAGTGCTTAGTCCATTTCCATTTCATTTAATTACTGTTTGGGTGTTCCTTTACAGCACTGTGCTGTTTTCTGTCTGCTCCATCTGTTCCTGCTGCTTTATTCCTTGTTTCTTGTCTTCTTTAGGATTAAGCAATTATTATTTTTTTTGAGAGGTTTTTGCTATAGGGCGTGTGCGCTCGCCAGACAGACAGAGAGAGACAGAGAGACAGAAAGCAGGAAATCACCCCCTAGGGGGGTGGCCACGCTGCAATCCCTTCTCCTCCATTCTCCTCTCGGGATCTTGGACACGCATGCACACGTGCCCGGCATGAGTTTAAGTCACCGGGTCCGGGACTCGAACCGCAGTCGACTATGTGGGAGTCCAGCGACATAGCCATTATGCTAACTGCTGGTCCCAAGCAATTATTTTTTATTCCAGTTTTTAGCCTTTATTTGCTTTTTGATTATTATTTAATTATTTAGGCGCTTGATTGTTATTTTACTATTCTTTCATTGCTTACTCTAGAGAGTGTAATGTGTACCCTGACTCATCTCTCGCTGGCCTAAGCTAGCCCTTTTCTCACTTCTCAAACAGCGCTAGAACCTGGCACTAGTGGGGCTCTGGGGCCAGACGGTGGTGGACAGCAATAAAGCCTGACTCTGGAGGCAACCCCGCGCGGAGCTTCCTGCTTCGTCTGCCCACCTCCCGAGTGCTTGCTCAGGCTCCCAGGCTGGCTGGGTGCTGGGTGCGGGGTGGACTGTGGCATCGGCACCAGGCCCTTGGGGAGGGCGGTCCCTCTGCCTTTCTCCATCACTCATGGAAGAAATAAATATATGAACTTTAAAAACGTTTGATGCAACACTTCCTGTTTTCTGTGCTGTTGTCATACATGTAATTTCAGTACACGTTTTCATTTCCTTCATTCTTTGCCAGAGAGCACGTGTGCTCAGCAGAGAGAGTGAGGAAGCAATGGGCTGTGGTCATGCTGCTATCCCTCCTGCATTGCTCCTACGGGGCACGCACACACAAGTCCCTGGTATGCCTTTCTCATTTTCTTAAAAAATTATTCTATTCTATTTTATATATTTATTTTTAATTTGACCAGAGAGGGACAGAGAAAGTAAGAAAGCAAGCTGCCAGGTCCAGGACTTGAACTGCAGTCGGCCATGTGGGAGTCCAGCGCCCTCAACCACCCTGCCACCTGCCAGACCCTCTTTTTTAAAAAAAAAAAAAAAAAAAAGAAAGAAAAACAAAGAATAATTTATTGGGCTGGCAAGTGGCATGGTGGTTAAAGACTCTGGATTCCCACATGGCTGACCATAGTTTGAGTCCAAGACCTGACGGCTTGCTTTCTCCTTTTTCTTTTCTCTCTCTCTTGCCCCCTCTCTCTGGTCAAATTAAAAAATAATACTAACAAATGGAATTAAATAAATTAATAAAGGGGCCAGCAGGTGGTGTGGTCGTTAAGGGCACTGCATTCCCACGTGGCCAACCATGGCTTGAGTCCCAGACCTGGTGCCTTGCCTTCTCCCTCTCCCTTTCTCTCTCTCTCTGTCTCTCTCTGGTCAAATTAAAAAAATAATAATAACAAATGGCATTAAATAAATAAATAAAAATTAAAAATAATTATTTATTTAATTTTGTTATTTCAGCCATATGGGAGTGTCCAGCACCTTAACCACCACGCCACCTGCTGGTCTCCATTTATTATTATTATTTTTTTTAAATTCAATCAGAGAGAGAGAAAGGGAAAGTGAGAAAGCAAGCCACCAAGTCTGGAACTTGAACTACAGTCAGCCATGTGGGAGTCCAGCGCCTTTAACCACCACGCCACCTGACAAACCCCGGTTATATTTTGTAACTGACAATAAAAAACTTAAGAGATAGGGCCAGTAGGTGGCATAGTGGTTAAGGTTTTCAAGCCGCTGAGGCTGGAATTTGAACTGTGATTGGCCTGTGGACTTGGGTTCCCTTAACCGCTAGGCCCCAAGACCAGCCTCATCTTTGGGTATACTGTAAAATTCATATTATAGTACGTCTGTGCTCCATGCTGGTCCTGACGCTAACTGGTATGAACACAATGACATAAAAGCTAGCTGATATGCTAACAGTAGAGCTAGGATTGACGCCTGGATTAGGGCTACGATAGTTTATTCCTTCTATCATATAATTAAATTTCATCCTTTAAGATCAGAAAGTGCTTTTGTGGCTTTTTTTCACATTCAGTTCTCTATCAAGCATTCACCTAATGTCTTAAACATCAATTGATAACCCTTAATGAATCAATATACTCATTAGGTTTTGCAAGTTATGTTTTATTAGCTGGCGTAATTCTGTACAGTAGAGCGTTCCCTCATAAAGTGGGCTATTTTGTTACCTGGAAATGTATTTCCTACTGTAAAGATGGTTTAAATGCTTGGGTCTTTTAATTATTAATTTTTTTGAGAGATTTTTGCTATAGGGCACTCACCAGAAAAAGAGAGACAGACAGAAAGTGAGAAATCACCCCCCTAGGGGGATGGCCACGCTGCAATCCCTTCTCCTCCATTCTCCTCTTGGGATCTTGGGCATGCACACACATGCGCCTGGTGTGAGTTTAAGCCACCGGGTCCGGGACTAGGACTGCAGTCGACTACATGGGAGTCCAGCGACATAGCCATTACGCTAACTGCTGGTCCCACCGATGTTTTTAAGAATTTGACCAGAGTCCTATTTTCCGGCTGGAACCATGGAGGGCGTTCAAGAGATGAAAAAGGAGGTTCCTGTTGTGGCAGAAACCAAGAAAAAGGCTCCTGCGGTGTCAGAAACCCTTGGTGGGGGGGGGAGTGAAGGAGTTTGCGGAGCTGAAAATTAAGCGCCTAATAAAAAGTTTGCTCAAAAGAAAAAGCAAGGAAAAAGCCCATCTATGAAAAAGCTAGGCACTATCAGAAGGAATATAGACAGATGTACAGAACTGAGATTTGCACGGCCAGGATGGCAAGAAAAGCTGGCGACTTCTATGCACCTGCAGAGCCCAAATTGGCATTTGTCATCAGAATCGGAGGCATCAACGAAGTGAGCCCAAAGGTTCGAAAGGTGTCGCAGCTTCCTGGTCTTCACCAGATCTGCAATGGCACCTCTAAGCTCAACAAGGCCGCAGTTACCAAGCTGAGAAGTGTGGAGTCGTATATTGCATGGGGTACCCGAACCTGAAGTCAGCAAATGAACTGACCTACAAGCGTGGTTATGGCAGAATCAGTAAGAAGCGAATTGCTCTGACATAACTCTGATCGCCTGATCTCTTGGTAAATTTGGCATCGTCTGCATGGAGGATCTGATTCATGAAATCTATACTGTTGGAAAGCGCTTCAAAGAAGCAAATAACTTCCTGCGGCCCTTCAAGTTATTTTCTCGGTGAGGAGGAATGAAGAAAAAGACCACCCATTTTGTAGAAGGTGGAGAGGCTGGCAACAGGGAAGACCAGATCAACAGACTTACTAGAAGGTTGAACTAAGGTATCCACTATGATTATTTTTGTAATCTGGTCAGTAAATAAACTGGCTGTTTTCAGACTGAAAAAGATAAAAAATTGACCAGGGAGAGAGAGAGAGAGAGAGAGAGAGAGAGAGAGATAGAGAACGTGAGAGAGGAAGCCACCAGGTCCAGGACTCAAACTGCGGTTGGTCATGTGGGAGTCCTTACATATATATATATATTTTTTTTTTTAAGAGAATTATTTAATTCTATTTGTCATTATTATTATTTTAATTTGACCAGAGAGAGACAGAGAAAGAGAGAAAGAGAAAGTGAGAAAGCAAGCCGCCAGGTCCAGGATTTGAAGTGTGGTTGGCCATGTGGGAATCCAGCACCCTTAAGCACCACCCCACTTGCTGGCCCCCATATATATTTTTTTTTAAGAGACATTTTTGCTGTAGAGAACATGTGCTTGTCAGAGAGAAAGAGAGAGATAGAAAGTGAGAAATCACTCGAGGGGGAATGGCCAAGTCTTAATGGCTTCTCCTCCATTCTCCTCTCAGGGTTTTAGGCATGCACACATATGTTCCCTGTGAGTTTTAAGCTACCAGGTCCAGGACTCAAACCGTGATTGACTACGTGGGAATCCAGCGACGTAACCATTACGGTATCTGCTGGTCCCTTAATGTCATATTTTAAAAAATACTATGGGGCCAGCTGGTGGCATGGTGATTAAGGTGGCTGGGTGCCAGGTGGTTGACTATGTGCTTTAAGTCCCGGACCTGGAGACCTGCAAAACATATCAGACATGTGTGCATGTGCCCCAGATCCTGAGAGGACAACAGAAGAGAAGGAACTGAAGTGCAGCCATTGTCCCCTCCACCCCGAGGGGAGGGATGTTTTCTTTTCCAATCTCTCTCTCCCTCTCTCCCCTTCTCTATCTCTTTGATGAGTGCATGCACCCAATTGCAAAATTAAATAAATAAATAAATAAATGCCCATCTTTTAAAAAATTACAATAACCCCAAATTATCTAAGAACAATCTGTAGTGTTTCTTTGGCTCCTGCATACAAAATTGTCTATTAGCTGTCAGTCCTGCTCAAGGGTCTCTGGGGATGCTACCGTTTGCTTTTCCAACTTGATGGGGTTCTGGCCCAAGGTCCTCTTGTTGATATTCCCTGTGGAAATGCAGTAATCTGTTATTGTATTGTTTTATCATAAGTTGTTTCAAGGTAGTCATTCTTCACAGGTAAGCATTCCAATGGATTGTTAGCTACACCATACCATTTAGCTATAAGCATCTCTGTTCAAATCTGTTCTCTCTTTGGAATGATCTCCTTGAGACGTGGTCCCCAGTGTGGTATTACTTAAGAGTATAATTATTTTTATGATTCTTGACAGCTATTTCCAAGCTTCCCTCTGGAAATATTATATTTGTTTATAATGTGCTCCCAATGTACAAATATACTTGTTTTATAATCCTGTTAGCATTGAGTTTTCTGTGTATAATTCATTTTTGCTAATTTAACCTGTGCTATGGGACTTTTATTTTGCATTTCTCTAAATATAAGTAATACTACACTTTTTAAAAAATAATTATTGAATTGAATTTATTATTATTTTAAAAAATAATTTGACCAGAAAGAGACAAATAGAGACAAAGAGGGAAAGATAGAAAGCAACCCGCCAGGTCTGGGATTCAAACTATGGTTGGCCATGTGAGAGTCCAGTGCCCTAACCACAATGCCATTTGCCACTCATAATACTATGCTTGTGAAAAAGTACTTGTTTAGGGGTTGGCGGGTGGCAGTGGTTAAGGGCACTGGACTCCCACATGGCTGACAATGGTTCCAGTCTCGGACCTGTGAGTTTGCTTTCTCACTTTCTCTCTTTCTCTCTCTCTCTTGGTCTATCCCTCTCTGGTCAAATGAAAATAAATAAATGAAGTTAAATAAAATAATTATTTTTTAAATTTACTTTTCTTTGAGAGGTTTTTGCTATAGGACACATGTGCTCACTGGAAAGACAGAGAGAGACAGAGAGACAGTGAGAAATCACCCCACAGGGGGGATGGTCACGCCGCAATCCCTTCTCCTCTTGGGATCTTGGGCATGCACGCACACGCGCCTGGCATGAGTTTAAGCCACCAGGTCCGAGACCCAACTGCAGTTGACTACACGGGAGTCCAGCAACATAGCCATTATGCTAACTGCTGGTCCCTCCTCTTCTTTTAATAATTACAATGATGTATTTTACATTCAAACCTGAGGCTAATGAAGACACTCATTCTGAATAAGCTGATTACAAACCTGGTTAGGTGAAAGGAAAATAATTTTCATGGAAAAAAAAAAAAACAACTGCTGTCTAATGATTTACAAAGTAAAAAAAACATACAACCCAACTAAATTGTACATTATTCCTCGTGCCCATACACGAAGGTGTTTTTATCGCCAGCTTTTCATTTTCACAACACAAACCTCACGGTAGCCCGAAACTGCTGCACCTTGGAACCTGGGAGACAGGCCTCCTGGGATAGGGAGTGACCCCACTGGCTACTAAGCTGCTCCTCAGTGACTTTTAGTTTCATTCATTAACATTCAGGAACCTGGCAGGACCGGCAGGTTTTAACCAAGCGACTTTCCATGAAATACTCTTCCCCAGGCTTTGGAGTCTTCTCACGTACCTTAGCACCCCACGACTGTCTCTGGGTACCCCTGACGGAGAGCACCGTTGTTCCCGCAGTGGTCCAGCTGGCTCCCAAATCCTGAAGTACAAAGTTACTTCTCTTTATTTTTTTAAAACGACTATTTCATTGAACTTTATATGTATGTATGTATTTAAATTTGACTAGAGAGGGAGAGAGAGAGAGAGAGAGAGAGAGAGAGAGAGAAAGCAAGTCACCAGGTCCAAGATTTGAATCACGGTTGGCCATGTGGGAGTCCAGCTGCCCTAACTATCACACCACCTGCTGGCCCCTATTTTTAGGATTTTCTTTCTTTTAAAAAAAAAAATTTTATTGGGACCAGCAGGTGGCATGGTGGTTAAGGTGCTGGACACTCCCACATGGCCAACCACGGTTCGAGTCCTGGATCTGGTGGCTTGCTTTCTCACTTCCTCTTTATCTCATTCTCACCCTCTGTCTCTCTCTGGTCAAACTTAAAAAAATAAATAAACAAGTGAATAAAATAAAACAAGTGATTATAAAAAAATTATTTAACTTTATTTATTTGTTTAGTAAAACAAGTGATTAAAAAAAAATTATTTAACTTTATTTATTTGTTTATTTATTTTAATTTGATTAGAGAGGGACAGAGTGAGAGAGAGAGGGAAAGTGAGAAAGAAAACTGCCAGGTCCCAGACTTGAACCGCAATTGACCATGTGGGAATCCAGCACCTTTAACCACCATACCATCTGCTGGCCTCTTTTTTCTTTTAAAGAAAGATTTTTGCAATAGAGCACCTGAGCTCCCCCAAGAGACAGGAAGCCAGAAGTCACCCCGGGGAGTGTGGCCACAGCACAGTCCCTTCTCTGCTCTCCTGATTTTGGACATGAACGCACACATGCCCAGTGAATTTCAAGCCACCAGGTTTGTGACTGGAACCATAGTCGGCCACATGTTGAGTCCAGCGCTTTAACCACTACGCTACCTGCTGGCGCCAGTTCTTTTTTTTTTTTTTTTTAAAGAATCACTTATTATTTAATTAAATTAAATTATTCTTCTTCTTCTATTTGGCCAGAGAGAGCCAGAGAGAGAGAGAGAGGGAGCATGTGCAAGCCGCCAGGTCCAGGACTCAAACTGGCACGGGAGTCTAGTACCTTAAATCACCATGCTACCTGCTACCCCAGTTTTTTTATGACTATTTATTTAACTTTACTTATTATTATTATTATCATTATTAAGCCCATTTGCTATAGGGCACCAGAGAGAGACAGTGAGAGAGTGACAGAAAGTGAGAAAGGAACCACCAGGTCTGAGGCTCAAACTGGATTGTGTGGGAGTCCAGCGCTTTAATCACCATACCACCTGCTGGCCCCCCCAAGTTTTTCTTTTTTAAGAGACATCATGACAGAACGAATTGAAGTCCTGCTTTCTCATCTCAAAACCCCAACCCTGGCTTTCTCCCCACCCATTCCCACATCATCATGCGGCCGGTGCCCAGCTAGCCCATTCTGCATATTCACACACACTTATTTCCATAACGGCGCGCACTGTTCTCTTTTTAAATTTAGTAAGTGATTTTACTAAGTCTGTGTTGGCATGCTGTCTGCTATTCCAATAACTTACGTTGTGAGGAGCTCTCAGTCCATGCACACAGAACTCGTTCATTTGGTGTATTTCATCCTAGAACATTTATTTTACTCATCTGCTTTTTATTGGACATTTTCGCCACGAAGCGGGCTTCCTATCTTCTCGTGCACACCTGTAGGAGTTTCTGTATTTTTCTAGATGTGAAATTACTGGGTCATAAAATGCACATCTCACATTCCACCCTTCGAAGTGTCCTGAGTAAGTGGTCGTTGTGATTTACACTTTCACCTGCCATCTCAGGTTCCCTCCCTCCGTGGCAGCGACCGGACAGAACGTTTTCCCTCCAAGGAGCTCTCAGCGGTCTGCCGTGTGAGCGGGTCGTCCCGCGAGTCTAGACCGACACCTGCAAGGCAAGCGCAGAGCGAGCCCTCAGTTCGGCGAGGCAGATTTCCGAGCGCGCCCGCGGCGCGCACACCCCCTCGGGGCCCGGCCGGCCCGGCGCCCCCTGCCCCTGCGCGGT